CTGGCCGTCTTTGTCTTCCCACTTCTCGTTTGAGGATGAGTAATTCAAGCGGAGACCCAGGGCTGCTTCAGTGGTCAGTGGTCACCGATGCGTCCCTGGTTAGGAGTCAGACTTAGGTAGCTTGCATCTTACCCCTGCAAATAACCAATGAAGTTTTCGGTCACCACGAGGGTTGCCATCTGTCCTGGTTTTCCCAGGATCCTCCCCTTGTCCTGTTTTTGTCGGTTGTGCCATGTTAATAACGATGCATTCACAGCTGTTGTTTCTCGCCTATTTCGGTATTGCGAGAAGGCATTCTTCTTCTTCCGACGAAATGTCCCGGTGATTTTGTACCTCCAGAAGTGGCATTCCTACTGCCCGCACGGGCACAAACTTGCACAACACACACCTTGTAGCAAAGTTTGGCACTCGATTCCATCGGTTCGCTTGCCAGTCTGCCGGTGAAAACAAAACGCGTATTTAATGCCGCTTTCCGCGCCACTCAAAGTCGGCGCGGCGGAAGGGTCGTGCGTGTCAGCCCTCGTCACCCAACTCAAAACGTCGCATCATTGGCGGGCAAAACCGACTGTTCACGTCGCGAATCAACTAACTCGCCCGTGGTCACACGGCCAAGCATTTTCCGTTCCGCCACGAAACAAACCCCCACACCCCCTCCCCGTGTCACGATACCCGTTATGCACGTGTTCATTTACTTAGCGGTTTAGTGTTCGAGCCGCCGCCAAGATTAATGGCGAGAAAACACTGCTGGGTATTTATTGTGCCAGCAGACGAGCCGATGAGCCGCACATTTAATTGTTATTTAAAGCAGCCCCCCCCCCCTCCGCTTCGCGAAAATACAATCTGTGCGGCTATCACACCACCGCCCACACCACCGCCACGTAGTTCTCCCCGTGTGGCCGGCGTGAGCTGACACGGGAAGCTGCAGTAGCTCCGAACAGCAGGTCAGCGGAAAGGTCGTAGCGGGGTCGTTCTGACCCCCACAAGCGGAGAAAACAAGCCGTGTGTCAATGTGTCAATGTGTCTGTGTGTGTCAATGTGTCTGTGTGTGTGTCCGGTCGTGTAGCGGTTTTGCACGCCGCGCTAACGAACCCGGCGAACCGAGGTGGATTCCGGCTCACGGCATCCAATGTCAGTGACGATTATCTGAACCGGCCCTGGGACTCCCCTAGGTCGAATCAGCCACAAATGAGTACCTGGTTCGGTGTGTAAACATCGCCACTGGGGAGACAACGGTGGTCGGGCTTTAATGCTGGCCACCCACCCCCTCGTTCGTGTACTGTTCCGGCCTTCATAGGTGCTCACTAACAGCGACTTGCCCCTACAGTCTGTTAAGGCTATACGGGGGATCTTTGTCTTTATCTTTGTGTCCGGTCGTGTAGCGGTTTTGCGCGCCGCGCTAACGAACCCGGCGAACCGAGGTCGATTTCCGCTCACGGCGTCCAATATCAGTGAGGATTATCTGAACCGGCCCTGGGACTCCCCTAGGTCGACTCAGCCCCAAATGAGTACCTGGTTCGGTGTGTGAACATCGCAACTGGGGAGACAAAGGCGGCCGGGTGTGGTGCTGGCCCACCCACCCCCTCGTTCGTGTGCCGTGCCGGCCTTCATCGGTGCTCGCTAACAGCACTTGCCGCCAAGAGTCTGTGAAGGCTACACGGGGGATCTTTGTCTTTGTCTCGCGTTGTCGGTTGTGTGTCACAGGCGACATGGAATATACATGCAGATGCTGGCATCGGTGGTTGGAAAGTTTTATAACTGGTGGTGTCGTAGATGTTGTTGTTGTTTTCGTTGCAAGTGTTTTTATTCTTTATTTCAATCGGCTTTTTTTTAGACGCAGGGAGAAGTATCCGTTCAAAAGTTGCCCAACAATTATTGTAAACAATCTACCACGTGCACGATATGTTGAACGTCAATTGTATTGTGAGCGTTCGCTTGCTGATAGCACCGCTTGCAGAAGGACCTCCACTGTCGGGCATTTCGCCTCCTCTTTCACGCTGGCCAGGTGTGTCTCAGAAATGGTGGCAGTACCCACACTTTACCCCACCACCACGTGGAACCTGGCTGGGTGGACAAATGGGGGAGAGGATGGGGGTGGCATTTATGAATCTTGCACCATTGTTCCAGCTGCGACCTTGCGATGTGCTCTCACCGTTACACAGCAGCACATTCTCAGATTTTTTTTTATCAATACATTGTCTGAAAAGCCACAGCATCGTGTATCCTCGTGTCAAAAGGTCAGAAAGTCAAGTAAAAAAAAGAAACTTGCCCATTGTTTGAACTGAACTCCCTTATAATTACTTAGGTGCACATTTTTTAAATAAATACGGCATAGCGGAATATCCGTGTGAACTCGAGCATTTGCAGGTGCACATTTGCATACGCGAAAGAAATATACAAAAATATATTTTATTTTGATAATAAATGCGCCCATATGGAATATGCATATTTGAACGCGACACGCTTGCAGCTGTCTCTTTGCACATGTTAGAAATCGCCGGCGCCGGTGCAGCGTGCACCTGGTGAACACCGTGCGTGCGTGCGTAGCGTCGGTGCATTTTTGCAGCGAAAGCGCATAATTCCGTGCAAATACATTTTAGAAAAATAATTTTTCGTGGGGGACACTCCCATCAATACTTGCTGAGCGTGTGGCCTCGGCGCCTTTTCACTCACGCCTTCCCGGCACCAGGCGTGCGTTCAGCGATGTGTGTAATTAATCCGTTAGTCCTACCCTTCATGCCCCCCTCGTGAATGCATACTGAGAGTGTGCATGAACGTATATTTTTTTGTTGTTTATATAATTATGCAGGGTCTATGTGTGTGTGTGCGCGCGTGTGCGTGTACGCAGTTGTGCGGTGCACGTGAATTAATGAGCTCTGAACTCTTTCGATCCACATTGGTAGAACTTGAAATCGTTAAAAAGAGAACAATTGCGATGGTTAGTTCTTGAGTCCAATTCGCCATAGGGTGCATTGGTGTAATTGACGAATACAATAGAATAAAGTATAAAGCGTGCGCAACGCAGCGATGAAAGAGGCGCATGCCCCTGATTAAATTTGAGAGCCAGAAAAAGGGACCGCATGGATCGGAGAGCATCCGGAAGTTAGAGACATCATCCGATAAGCGAATGAAGTTCAACATACGTACGTACAGACGTATTTTTTTTGATCGTTGAGAAGAGTGAGTAGGGCTTTGGGTAGGAGACGTCATTGGCAGGGATGGTGGCCAGTGGGTCAAGGCTAACGGCGAAGTGACAGCCAAAGAAGGGGACACGTGCGCAAAGGGGATTTGACGCCACGGAGATGTAGCAATAGAAGCGGATCGTGTGCGTGCGGTCGCATGGATTGTTACATCCCACGACCTTGAGAGATGGCGACGGACTGGGGAGACCTTCATCCAGCAGTGGATAGTTCCTGGACGATGATGATGATGTTGAATTGTTTTCAGAAATACAATCAAATACACATGTCACAATTTCTCGATGTGCCCGTGTCAAAATGACTCCACATCATACTGTATGCGTGAATGTACCACATTATTGTGATCGCTTTCTTAACTTATGCAGGAAATCGGATGAGATGTCTGCATGGTATTGCTCATGATAATTTGTCTATGCTGCCATCTCTTCATTTCCTTTTCCACACCCCCCCCCCCCTCTATTCCTGTTTGTCTTCTTTAATATCCATTTCGGAAATATCTCTGCTGTTCGTTTTCCCCGAATTGCGAAATGTTATGTTTATAAAATCAAAATGATTTCTTGCTTTGTAAATACGTGTTATTAAGCAAGGCAATATGTAATTAAGCGAAGAAATGTCCTCATCTCCTCTCGTCAGCAAAACATCCTGTCATGTCATTGAATGGCCTCCAGAAAATGACACCACAGATTTACTTCTTAAATCACGTTATTAGGACTTCCTGACCCAGACCTATTAAAAGCATCATCATAATTTGTAAAACAGTGGTTTGTGTTAAATCCCTGACACGAGATGGAGTATTCTATTCCCATCAGACTGGGTTGGCAATTGTGGTAGAACATTTGACTCATGTATACGTAGGTCGCGAGTGGAATTTTATTTTAAAGTCAAATTGTACTATCATCTGTTCAGGTCAATACAATACGTACTTTGTGTGTGTCAACTCATCAAGCAGTTATTTACGAATTGGGAGCCCAATTCAATGTTGTAATTCAAATTTGATTATTTTTGTTTGGCTATTTTGTGAGCTCCATTAGCTTTGAATGTAACATAAAAATATTATTTGCATAAATCTTGAGTCATATTTCACACGCACGATTTGATGCGTTTAGCACGTTTGCAGGAATCGATTTCAGTCGCTGAATTGATGCATATTTCATGCCGAAAGAGGACCACTTTGTCAGCAGTGGCCGTTCAGTGGAGAGACTGGTGCCAGCATGAGAATATGGAATTTTCACCGGAGTTTTTTACTGGACTCCATCCACGGCCACAGCGGTGGCGCTGGGCATGAAACGCACGAAGCAAAACCTCAGGACCCCATGCAGCTAAGGGGACCCCAAAAGTAGGGAATGACAAAATATTAGCTCTGATTCAGATCATAATAATCATAAGCAGTTAATTCGCATAAAACGGCGAATCTCTCTCTCTCACCTCTATCTTGTCTGCACTGCTCTTCCCCAATCTCACTCCATATCTGCCGCTTTTCCACATGTCTCTCATTTCACGACATCTGACTACAGATCTAACAAGTTGTCCACATTTCTCTCTCCTCGCTATATCAATCGACCTACTACCTAATACCTAATATCTCGCCTATCATCTCACGGGGAGTTTAAACGTAGAATTTACACATTGGAAGCGGGTTACGTTTGCTGATCTTCTTTCGCACCGTACGTAGCCAACCTTGCTAATCGGAGGTGCAGGGGGGGGGGGAGTGGTGGTGGGGCGGTGAGTGGCCGATGGGCCGGCACCTCCACCGCTACTGCTCGGCCCGACGGCCAAGCCCTGTCCCGTGCACCTGTGTTGCAGCCTCGCCCTCCATGTCTCCTTCCCTCGACCCCGCGTTCCGCGTCCGTCCGGACGAGTACCCAAGCCCCGCCACTGCGGCGACGGCGGCCGGCGACGATCGCCAGCGCCGCGGGGCGAGGAGTCGGCGCTCCCCGGCGCGTAGCAGCGGTGGCGGTGGCGGCAAGGAGCTCACGGTGGAGACCCTGGTGGTGGCCGACAAGCGCATGCTGCAGCGGCACACGGCCGACAACGTCACCACCTACATCCTCACCGTGCTCAACATGGTGAGCGCCAGTTTCCGAGAGTTATGGCTGCTCGTTTGGTCGGTCGTTGTCCGTTCAGTGGGTCGGTTTTTTTTTTGTGGGGGGAGAGGGGTTCTGTTGTTGCTTTGTTTTGTCTGTTGAGTTAATTTTGTTTGGTTGGTCGGTCGTTGAGTTGCGCCGCTCGTTCTCCCGTGCGTTGAGTTGTCGGTCTGGCCGTGAGTACGCTCGTGTTGGTGCTGGCCCCGATCACTCCCATCGCTTGCCATGTTAGTTTGTGTGAATATTGGTTCCCGCGGGTAATGCGTACTTGTTTCAAACTAATGCAGATTTGTTCCCCTTAATTGCACTGCCCCCAAAGGGAAGTTATATACCAATTGGGGCCCAACTAAAATCATCATTATCATCACTATCCATCCATCATTATCAGCATCCACCTTTCAGCCATCATCATCTTCGTCCATAAATGATCATTATCCATCAAACATCACCATCAGCTGGTGGCGTTTGTCTATGGAAAGGCTGCCTCCTAGCCTATAAATGTGATATTACCACTACTAACCTTTATAATGTCAGTGCATACAAAATAACTTGTACAACAGCTCTCTGATGTGCATTCGGGTTATACTGCAAGTTGTTCGAAACAATGTCCGACGTTTCACTTCACGTGTAAAAGGCTTCTTCAGGAGGTATTCCTGAAGGAGCACACGTCAGAGGGCTGGACGGCACGACCAAAAAAAAAAACACGTAGTAGTTGTATGCATATGCTGCATTAACAATGCTCATCAACCATGTTTGGGTAGAGAAACGTGTGCCTCATGCCTGGCCACAACAGCATACTTTCGCTTTGCCCCATGTGCACACCACCTGTACCGCGGGCGTGTGCGTGCATGTCTGGCAGGTGTCTACGCTGTTCAAGGATGGCACGATCGGTAGCAAGATCAACATGGTGGTGGTGGGGCTCATTCTACTGGAGGAAGATCAGGTATGGTGGGCCGTGGCATCCGCCGAGCGACGCGAACACACTGTGTAACTCACGAATCTGCCCCCTTTAGCGATTTAACGAGTCGTCACAATTTGGGTTTGCGACTTCATTTAATAATCGATGATGTTTTGGCCAGTGTGTTTGTAACATCACAATCTGTATTTAGACTGGAGGAATCCAATCTGAATCATCCATAGTGGATGCTGACTTTAACATACAACATATGTGGATCTTGTCCACCTGTGTGTGCTGGTTTCTGTCTGCTTATCTTTCAGATTTTTCGTGTTTGCTTTCTCTCTTGTCCACCTGTCTGTGCTTGTTGGTCTGTCTGTCTGTCATCCATCGCCCTCGGCTATTTACGTTCTCTGCTTAATTCGTTCAATCGCCATCTCCTTGTCCGTAAATCAAAGGCAGAATTCACGCCTTCGAGTCTAAGCCTGGAAGTTTTTTTTACTCTTCGTGTGAGCGGCGCATCGTGGCATCATCGTCGCATCATCGTCGTCATCGTCGTCATCATCGTCGTTATCGTCGTCATCATCATCGTCGCTCGGTCACTGCTTGTGCGCAAGAGTGCACGTGAAACGGCAGCAGCAGCAGCGCCATTCTACTCTGGCATAACCCGGGCGCTTTAATGGGACATTTACACAACTTCAGCCAACGCCAGGCCAGGGGCCCACAACTTCAAGAGACGCGTTATTACTGCACGTACAGATCTGGCATCGAATCAAAGCTCGAACCTCCACTGATTCCTCCAAAACCACCCGCCCACCCCTTGCCCCCCCCCCATCCACCAACTCCCCGCGCCCTCCCGGCAAGCAGCCTCACGGGGCGGGTGACTTGCCTTAACTTCCACTCCCGTGCTGGAGCATCGCCACGGAGTAGCGTTGCGTGCGACGCGCAATTAATTCGCCCAAGACGGAACCCATTATTGCCGCAGCGCCGGCGACGAGTCGGATTAGGGGGTTGCGGTGGCCGGGCAGATGGGGCGTGCGCCTTTGAGCGCGCGTCTTTTTTATTTTTTGAGCCGAGAGAATTGAAATGAAAAAAAATTCCGGCCGGCACGTTGTTTGGGGGAGAGATAGGTGCTTCAGTCAGCTGGCTGCTGCTGCTACCGCCGCTCGCTGTGCACGCATGTACACGCGGCACCACGCGTACCACGCAGTGCGTGCACGAAAAATAATGATGATGATCGTGTTAATCGATTACGATCCTCAATCCATTGTTGGATGAAAGACCTCCCCCCCCACCCCCATGCTGTGTCAGCCATAATGGGCTACGTGACCTCGCTTCACCAGGCTGGTAAATAAATTGTGGTGAATGGGTGCCAGCATCTGTTATGTAATGTCCAGCCCCTTACCAGTCCACCACCGAATGAATGCATCCTGCGCATCCATGTCGGTCACGGCGGTCGTTTGACCCAACCTCACCAAGCGGATCAACATGAACGTTGACCGTGCCCGGGAATCGAACTCGGGTTGCCAGGTTCGTTGGGCAGATGTCTCGCTGGCAGATGGCGCTTGGCCGCTCTCTGCGCTCATGAGCCAGTGAAGGAAAGAACGCATTCGTATGGCAGGGGCCAGTCTTGATGTTGGGCAACCACTGTCACCTTGCCTCCCACAACGTCGGTCTCGTTTTATTGATTCCAGGGGCGTATTTGAAAGAGTATAGCACGGCGTAATAATGTTATAACGACAATTACACCATTACGCACTGATTAATTTCACGCCATCTTCATAATGATTCACTTATGTAGATTCTGATTAGACTATAGACCACGATTTAATATGTGCAGGTAATTGGGTCAAGATAGAAATCGGCTGTAAATTTTCTTCAAATTCATTTTAATATAATTCCCACCTGAATACGTATGCGACCGTAATGCGTGTGTGTGTGTGTGCACCTGTGTGTGGGGAGCGGTAGTGTAGCAGTTAGCACACTGTGCGATGAACCTGGAGATCCGGGTTCGATTCCCGCTCATGGCCAACACCAGTGACGATTATCTGAACCGGTCTTGGGCCTCATCTAGGTCGACTCAGCCTGAAATTAGTTTCTGTTGCTGTGTGTAAACATCGCCACTCGGGAGACAAAGGCGGTCGGGCGTGGTGCTGGCCACCCACCCCCTCCCTCGTGTACCGTTCCGGCCTTCATAGGTGCTCGCTAGCAGCACTTGCCCCAAAAGTTCTGACAAGGCTATAATGGGGATCTTTGCCTTTGTGAGTGTGCAAGCATATTGCAAGTACCAGTAACATTTTAGGTATCATCTCTACCGTCTAGAAACACAATGCTTTATTTTAATACGAACGTTGTGAAAGCCAAAATCAGACGAATCAATCCCGCTTAGCCTTGCAAATGTGTGAGAAACACAAAAACATCGCGCACACACACACACGCAACACGCTCCCATTTTTCTTCGCATAGAAATGGAACGACATCGCGATTGCCTTAGCGTCTGCAACAGCGGCTGTGGCTCGCGCCAGCCAGGAGAACGCAGTCACGTGCTCCCGTTTTGATAGTCGCTGATCGCAGTCTGGATTTTCTAAATAAATAAAAAAAAACCCGCACATCACGGCTCCGTAGGCTTTGTTGTCGCCTGACGAACGTGTCGAACTTCTTTCGCACCGTACGTAGCCAACCGTGCTAATCGGGGGGGGTGCGGGCGGGAAGGACAACAAGCGTGTTTGGGGCTATAGATTGCACAGACGAGAGGGCGAAGCAGCATTTTAGTTTGTGGAAACGGATCAGCGTGCTCGCAACAAAAATGCGCAAAGCGCACCGCGGCGGCCGCTGTAGAATCAGAATCTTTATTTCGACTGGGGGAGGAATCCGCTGGGCGGTGAAGCTCTTTTACACAGACGTCCAGGGTGGGCGGGTCAGGAAGTTACAAGAGCAATTTAAAAAAAAAAACGCGATAGGAGTACAAAATTTGAGAAAAAATGGTAAGCAAGTCACTCAATGTGAATAATGAATAAACGCGCACATCATTTAAGTCCGATTTAACACCATTGGGCAAGGTAGCAAAAACAACGACACGGACAGTCCCAGACCACACCGAGATGACAGTCCCTCAATAAAATAACCCATGAACAAAACGAGGGGACTGCCTACCAAACACTGTGGGCATTTCCCGTCCTTTGCATAGATAAGCAGTTGGCAAAGAGTAGCTGGTGCGGTGTGAAAATCAGCATTGGGTACACAAAGGTGGCCCGGTGTGGTTCTGGCCACCCACCCCCTCATGTGTAGTATCGGCCTTAATAAGTGCGCTCACTTACAGCACTTACCTCAGTATACAGGGGAGGGTTCTTTGCGTGCGTGGGATGACTTCACCACCACCACGTAGTTGATGGATGTCAGCTGCTGTGTGTGGTCAAGAGTGCCATGGTGGTGCGTGCAACTGCTTTTTGAAACCGGCAACCTCGGTTCGATTCCTGGGCACGGATACCATCCGTCGAAAGTGAAATCTGAACCTTGTCCTGGACGACTCTTCAAGGTCAACTTAGCCTGAAGGGAGTGCCAGGTGCAGTGCAGGGGCGGTTTCTTCATTAGGGCGATTGGGCGACGCACCACCAATCTCAGCCGTTACTGTGCCTCCAATCAGTGTCATGTCACGTTCTGTGGAGTACCGCCTCTTTTTGGGCGATTTCACTCCGGCTGAGAATCGCCCAGAGTGTTCCCATAGACTTACATTCAAAGATGTTTTTTTTCGAACGGCGGGCGCTGCAATGCATTCTCTATGGCTTCCGGGAGGGCTCGCCCTAACGTGCTTACGTCATCATACGTAAGCACGTTTCAGTCAACAATATTATTTGTCGCTACCTAGTGGAATCTTTAATAAAAGATACTGAGTGGATTGTAATAATAGTGAGTATAGAAACAAACAAGATGTATGGTAAGAGTCACTTTATTTTTCATTAATATTAAAGAAGTGAAGTTGCCTTTACATGCTTAAGCTGTTAATTTATCCATTGCATGGGTGTACCTTATCCTTATCAATCATCCAGACATTTGCCCCCCCTGAGAGATTTTTCAGGAGCCGCCACTGGTGCAGTGCATGAACATGGAGAGACATAGCCAGGAAGACATAGCCACACCACCAGATATTCTTGGTTATTTCGGTAAAGTCACTTCTACGTGACTTTACCGAAAGAACCAAGAATATGAATCCCTGTGGTCACAAAAGCTTTAAATCGAAAAATTACACCACCAGATGTCCACTTCTGGCATTAGTAGATTCTCACTGACAGACCATTCAGCTTAATGGGAAAGTCGTGATCTATTATTTTTATACCTACGTAACTTTACCGAAAGACCCAAAGAGTATAGATTAATGGGGGTTGCTGATCTGAGTGTGCATATGTGTGTGCAGCGGTTAGTGCGCTGTGCTATGAACCTGAGGACCCGAGTTCGAATCCCGCTCACGGCCAACACCAGTGACGAATATCTGAACCGGTCCTGGGCCTCCCCTTGGTCGACTCGGTCTCAAATGGGTTACCTGGTGCGGTGTGCAGTCAACATCGCCACTGGGGACGATCAGGCATGGTGCTGGCCACCCACCCCCTCGTGTGCCGTGCTGGCCTTCATAGTTGCTCGCTAACAGCACTTGCCCCTACAGCCTGCCATGGCTTCACGGGGGAGGGATGGGGGAGCGGGGTGTTTGTCTTGTGTGCGCTTGTGCTATTTATATGTAAGAATGACGACTATGCGTCGGTCAAGAGCGTACGCTGTTGGTGCACAGCTGAACCTTATTGAAGCAATTTTCTGGTTGCTTGTCTTAACCATTACATTACCCGTCGATGGCTGCAGCTTTAGCACGCGTGACTCAATTTTCTAGAGAGCGCACTCACTCACGCACGCACGCACACACGCACCCATTCACTGCTGGCAACATCTGCATCGTTAATTGGGCAGAGAATTGAATTCACCCTCGGAATGTGAATCCGGCGCATGTGACTGATCGCTGCACAGTATGCCTGCAGCATCGTATTTTGAAAGGTTGCAATTTC